TGGGCGGGATGGTATGGAGGATCTCGTGGGAGGGGACGGGGTTTCAGGGCAGGGCGACACCTCCCAGCTTTATCTAGATGGCTGGCTTGCTCCAAGGAGACCCCTGGACCGCTGGGTCAAGGCAGGCCCCCCACCAATGGCCCACCCTGCTTCTGAGGACTGGCACAGCTTCCTGGGGTTCCAGGCAAAACCTGCCTGGAGGTGTCAGGGACTGAACCTGGACCCTCTGGCATGCAAACGACATGGAATATGGCCTTTCCCCCGAGATCTGGCGAGGAGTCTGGAAACCACGTCTTACGGGAGAAGGTTGAAAGAGTTCGGATGTTTAGCTTGGAAGAGGGAGGATTTAAAGGAGATGAGAGGGTAGAGGGCTTGAATCATCTGAAGGGTTGCCATGCCAAAAACGGGGCAAGCTCATTTTCTGTTGCTCCGGAGCACAACAGAACTTTGAACCTTACAAGAAACCATATTCCTGCTCAATGTGATGAGCAACCTCCTTACAGAGACGGCTGCTTAGCTGTGGAACAGGCGCCTTCGGGAGGTGGTGGGCTCTCCTTTACCGTAGTTTTTTAAGCAGAGGGTAGATGGCCACTGTCAAGATGCCACATCCTGCCTTGCAGAGCCTGCCTTGAGCAGAAGGTTGGACCATGAGCCAGTGCCGAATGCTTTCTCCAGGCACTGCTGCATCAACCCACCTCCCTTTCTTTCAAATGAGCCAGAGCTCCCAAAACCTTTGCCGATCTGCTTCCCATTGCTGAGGTTTGGGCAGCTGCCACCGCCACACCGAGAGTGTCTTTTCCCGGCATTGCAGCTTCTTTGTCCCTGTGTGTGCTCAAGCAAAAGACTTTGTGAGGTCCAGAGCTAGCCCTCTGCCCTGTGCCTACATGTGTGAGCGTGTGCATGTGCCAGGCCTGCAGAATCATGGTATGTAAATTTATTTAAATAGGGTAGGGGAAGGTGGGGGGCTAATCTGCTGCTGCTGCTTTCCCAACCTCTACCTCCCCTTTGCTCTAAATCTGACCTCTGCCAGAAATTGCTTTCTCTGTGTCGCAATATATTCTGGAGAGGTGGGTCGGGGGTTAATGGGATATGTAGACCAGTATTACCTGGGTCTACTAAGAAATGTGTCTCAATGAATCCCGTGGGACTTATTCCCCTGTAAGCATGTGTAGGACGGAAGCCCCAGGAAAGAGGGCAGGTGTATCTCTGTGTAGTGCCTTGTTGCGTGTAACTGGGTATCTGTCCAGGTGGGTGCCTTGTGGTTTGTGTGCTCATGAATGAGCTTCTGCGAATGCTTTTACAGTCTGATTTTCCTCCCCCCCTTCCTCTGCCAACACTCGACACTTAGAATCATAGGAGAGTAGAGTTGGGAGGGGCCATTAGGTCCAACCCGCTGCTGTTGCAGGACACCAAGTAACCCCACCCCATCCAGATGGCTGTCCAGATGCTTTCTGAATGTCTCCAGTGAGGGAAAGTCCACAAGTTCCCCAGGTAATCGGTTCCATCGCCATCCTGCTCTGGTGACATTCTTTCTGGTGTTTAGTCTAAATCTGGTTTCTTCTAACTTAAGTCTGCTACTCCGGGTGCTGCACTCTGGAACGGATGAGAAGAGATCCTGCCCTCCCTCTTTGTGGCCGCCTTTCAGGGACTTGCAGAGGGATGTCATTGTCCCCCTCAGTCTTCTCTTTCTGAGGCTGCACCTGCCCAGTTCTCTCAATCTTTCCTCACGGGGGCCTTGATTCATCCTTAACCGTTCCCGTTGCCTCCTCTGTGCAATGTAGGTTGCTGTTTGGAAGAAGACAAGTCTCCAAAGGAGTGCTTTTGCCGGGATTATTACTGCTACCATCAGTGTTGCAACAACACACAAAAGGCCTGATGAGGATTTTGGTTGCTCTGAGAACTTGTTCCCGCACTTCACTTGATGATGGCTCACACCAACGCTGAAAATTGTCTATGGTTGTTATCTATTCGGTTGGGTTGGGTTGCTTTTATTTACCTGTTTTTAGAGAAGGCAGTTTGTGTGTGTGTGTGTGTTGAGGGCAGACAGGAAATGTGGACTATTCCATTTGACCTAGAGAACGCCAAGCATCCGTCACATGACACTCTGAGCAACTTCTGCAGCTTGGCCTGCAGCAGCATGATCCGAGTCCAGTGATCCTTTCTCCAGGCTTCTCCTTAAACCGCTTTGGTGGCTTCGCTGTGAAATGCAGAAACAGGCAATCTGCACTATTAAACCATGCATGGACTGTGTATAATTTGGACAGCTTGGCTTCCAGGGAATTTATCACTGTGTGAGTTTTGACAGGAGAAGAGGGGAATCACTGGAAGGCAGGAAGCTGCCTTTTAGCCCAGCACTGTGATCACTGACAGGTAGCCATCCAGGGTTTCAGCAAGGAATTTTCCCAGGCGCCTCTGGAGGTGCAGCTTTGTCCTTCCATTATCCACAGCACACTGTTCTGAAAGTTTAATGCTCTCACATCAGGTCTGCCACTACCGAAAGCATGAAAACAGAATCATTGGCATACCTCCCCTCTCTGGATTTTAATTGAAAAATGGTGTATGGTATTTGCTACCGTCAGCTCATTTTCGCTGCACTTCTTTGTCTGGTTTATTTTCAAACAGCTTAAGGTGAAGGTGCTTTTTCATTTGTTTGCCATTGACATGTTCAGTTTTTGTATTGTTGTTGTGTCTTTGGAAGACCACGATAGTGAAAATCTGCTAAGAACCACAGTTAAAATAAAATAAAATAAGCATTGGGTTTTGAACTAGGAGTTCCTTTTCTTGACAACAGAAGGGGGAAAGGGAAGTGATATTTTCCTCCTGGAGATGGAGGCCCAGCTCAATGGCAGAACTTCGACATGTAGAGTGCTTGACACATGCAGTTAAAGGGCGAAGCAGCAGGCAGTGGAAAGAACAACTTCTTGGAGAACTGTCCAACTAGATGGGCCAGTGGGCTCCCCTGACATAAATCAGCTGCTGTGTTTTAATCTCCCAGAATGTTCCCCTTCCCCCAATCAGGACTTCATTCATTCTTCCTTTAGCAGGTTAGACATACATTGGAATCCAGCCTGCTTCTTTGCAAACCTGATCTTTCGCCCTCTTCTTTGGTTGCCTCTGTGTGGCCACCCTTAGGTCTTTCCCATCCCCCTTCCTCTGGAGGTGCAAGAGATTCAATCTAGGACATTATGCATGCAAAAGAAATGCTCCCGTACTGAGCTGTGACCACCCTGGGTTAGATGCACTGAGCAAGACCATCTAACCCAATAAACATTATTTTTGTAGAAGACGGAAGGCAGGTTTCTTTTTCAGTCCAGCTAACCTGAGACCCAGAATGGGAGAATCTGTGCCAGCAGGCCTATTTGGGGGAGGATGGAGGGTGAACAACATGTAACTTAATCTCAGCCAGACTGAGCCATTGTGGGCTGGAGAGCCAACGACACTGCGTGGAGGTTTACTCCTGGTCTTAGACATGGCAGCACTTCCCTTAAATGATTGTAGTCTGAGAGGCTTCCTTATCTGGGGCAGTCCAGGTAGCTCCAGTTTAGCAGCTTAGGGTTGCACGGCCATCACAGCCCTATCAAGGGATGAGTGAGCAAATGGCATTCAAGATTATCTCAAGATCATTCCCTGGACATTGCTCTCGAGTTCTCTTCTGCTCATTTCCTGTTTACATTGACAACCACTGTCCATTCCACATAAAAGAAAGAATCATGCAAACTGAGCAATGACTGAATGTGAAATTTGTGCAACTTTCCCCTGTTCAGTGTGCAAACATTCTAGATTCCCCCCATAGACTAAAGTGTGGCTCATTCAGTTTTGTGAGAAATTTGTGTACATTTAGGAACTTAATCAAACATGAGGACATTTATGCAATTTGTGAGTGTTTCTGATGTGCTCACGTTCATGTTTAAATTTGCAAACAGGATACACTTACCTGTTCTGAGAGCAAAACTAGCATTCTCATCCATCCCTAGACCTATGTGGAGAAGATAGACCTTGCCTCATTTTTCCATGGAGTGATGTTGTCCAGGCTGGACTATACTAATGCCATTCATGGGGCTGCCCTTGGAGGTAGTTCGGAAGGTTCAACTGGTATAGAAAGCCTGAGTGCTGGTGGGGATAGGGTGTTTCAGTCATACAACATCTTTACTGCATGAAAACTGGCACATTGCACTGATCGCTGGTATATTTTCCAAGCCCAATTTACACTGGTCTTTAAATCTGACCTAGCTTTGACATAAATGATTTGGGAGCACAGTCCCTGAAAGACTGCCTTCACCCAGATCAGCGCACAGTCCCTTTAAGATCAGCAAGGGAGGCCCTTCTTGTTTGCCCACCTGTGTGTGCAGGTTATTCACACACCTGCATGAGAGAGACCTTTTCCACTGTGGAATAAATTGACATCAGGTGCCTGCAGGCTCCATTCTGGAGCTTTCAAGGCATGAAAATATGCAGTTCCACTCTGGCCTCCTCCTGGTAGGTTTGCTATTGTTGCTGTTTTATCATTTTTAATACTGCATCAGCTTTTATTATACATTTAGCATTGTGCATCATGTTAGGAGGACTGCTGCCAATAAGTGTAATGCAGAAAAATCAACCAACCAGTACAGTGCTGGGGTAACCTTCCAGTGGGGTCTGTGTTCTTTACACTACATGTTTTTCCCCCGATTTATATCCTGCTTTTTTCCTACAAAGGGCTCAAGGCAGCTTACATCATTCTCCTCCTCCATCTTATCCCCACAACAACAACCCTGTGAGGTCGGTTGGGCTGAGAGTCTGTGACTGGCCCAAAGTCACCCAGTTGGCTCCATGGCTGAGCAGGGACTAGAACCCAGATCGCCTGAGTCCCAGTCCCACGCTCTTAACCACCACACCACACTGGCTCTCACTCTTTCGCAAAAGCTGCTTCTTCAAGCGGGCTCCACTTCCAGCCCTCTGCCTCAAAGGAGCACAATGCCCAAATTTTCTAATACATTGCCATTTTCTTGACTTTTTTGCAGCAAAGCCACACTCGGTGCCCGGCTCACAAGTGTTCTGTTGAATCACCTGGATGGATACCAGTGCAGCACATGGTAAGTCTGAGTTTTTAAATTTTTTTTAATTCTGTGAATGCAATCATTTCAGAGAATGCAGGTGATGTTTCTGTGTAAGAGGCAGACTTGGGAGTGGTATATGAGAAGGCCCAAAAGAAGGGTCCTTTAATCTCTTTCTGGAGCTTAGCTCTGACCATTTTGCTATAGTTGTGATTCTGTATCATTTTTTGGATGTGCACCATTTCCAGAACGAATGTGAATTGCTGGTGTAGAATTGCAAAGTCTTTCCAAAGTGTGTGACAGCTATTTTGTGGGTGATGTTAGAAGAGAAATACACAAGTTTTCTGCTGTTGCAGTTCTCACTTTCTCTACTCTGAATTAGATAAAATTTCCCACATTTTAAACAGTTCAATTCCAACCAAAACCTTCTACAGGTGCAGTTTTATGTCCCAGTGAATGAAGTGTGAATTTCTGATGCACAGAATTGGACTGCAGAAGTCTTAAAATTAATATTACCATTTTCACACTGTGCAACCCAACTTAAAATGTGGTCAAGCTAGTGGATATTTGAATTTTGCTACTCTGCATTAAGTGTAAATATTCAAGCCTTGTGTTTGAAGCTGGGATGTTGTAAAATTTCAAATTTGGATGGATATAGATGTCTGAACTGTTCCTGTGATTGGACTGTTCTTTAGAACGTTGTCTGGGGTAAAGAAAAATAGGGGCTTTGGAAACGTCTCTCACCCCTCATGTTGAAGTTTGGGACTAATTGAAAAAATGCCAGTGGCCAAAAAGCACTGGCTTCTGTATGTGTTTCATGTGATCGATGTGGCTGGCTGGGGAATGTTGGATATTTTCTGGTTGTATATGCATAGGATTGCATACATGCTGCATCAAAAGTGGGCAGGGTTTTGGACTGTGGTTTTTTCGGAGTATATACATGGATGCTATCTATACACAGAGGTGAAGAGTCTTTTACGTGCTGTGAAAGTCACATGAAGTGCTTACACTGGTACATATTTGAGCCTCTACCAACAAGTTATTAAGGCCAATGAGATGCTTACAGAGGGACATTTAAATTAGCCATCTGCTGCGCAGAGATGGGTGGAATGAGATTGTAAATGGCAAATACAAGCTGGCCAGATGCTAAAGGGTGTGATTCTGGGCCGGTTACTTGGAACGAGCTATCAGACATAGTTGCTTGCAAAATGGTTGAAAAGTTTCACTTCTTGATGGATTATGGTAGCTAATATGCTTGTTTTTTGCCTCATCTACATTTTGGGATAGAAAAATCCTGTTGGAGTTGTTGGTTGTTTTTGCTTTGTGTTTTCCTTTCATACCTGTTGTGAGTTCAGGATTTTTTAAACGGCTGACATAAGAGATTATATGCATATGAAGGATCAAAAAGTAGTGAGACTCAAGGATGTTTTGGCCAAGTTTGCTTTAACTGGAGAATTATATAGCGAAGGTGAAGTTTTCTCCCCATTACAAGCAATGGAATGTGTGATATGTTTTAATCTCGGGCATTATGTTTACATGTTATAGATCAAAGTTGTCTAAATGCTGATTTTTAAAATGGCAAACTCAAAACTGTTGCATTTACACTGTTTTTGACTGATATTTCTTGTTTGTCTCATTCATTGAAACCAACACCATTCAGTTTGGGTTGGGAAAGAATTCCCAGCTCCTCACAGGTTAGATTAGATAACACGCTTGCTTTGTATAGGCTAGCTAGAATTTCTCAGAGCGCTTTCTTCACTATTTCTTTTATATGCAGCATGTTTTGGTTTAGGATGTGCTCCCTGATTGTCATTCAGGGATGGTAATGGATGGGCATAAAGGTATTCATTGTGTATTTATAGTAGCCACAATTCATCCCTGTGCTGACAGTGTCTTGCCAGGAAGGATCCACCTAGGGAGTAAATTAGTCCTGTGACTTTATCTCTTGCTGCTTGGCACATTAACACCTGTGTGCCAGACCTTTGCATGGAATAAGATCCTTGGGCACCTCCATGTTCCTTTCCAGCGCTCTCCTCCTCCTCCTCGGAGCAGGTCCACCTGTCGCTAACATTACCCAAGAGAGTCCAGAAAGAGATGAATCTGCCCTATAGAGCTTGAACTAGAGCCTACCTTTAATATGTCTTTTTAAGGTTTGGGTTGATTAGATTTAAGTGGGTTTATATTTATTGTGTAGAATGGATGCTGTGCTCCACTTGGTTTTATTGCAAGACTGTTCTGAGACCATTTGGTAGTGGATGGTATACAAAAGTTTTAAATACATACACAATAACAATTTATTTTTGTGTGTGTGCTGCAGAAGTTGGATTTTGGGGTCTGGAGTCATGCACAGTGTGATGTCGTGTGCACGATGTGTTCCCTTTCTGATTGGTTGTTCCCATGAGGCTTGTTTGCATAATAATGTCATGGGATGCTTAAGAGGGGCTTGCAGTATTTTCCTCTTTAGAAGTGGAGCTGTGCTGGTCATGGCAGCTTTGAGGGGGGAAGCCAAGGGAATGGGTTCCAGCCAGTCTTTCGGGTGCTTCAGCCACAGGACCAATGAAAATTGAGGGGGTGTATGAATACCTGTGCACTACTTTCCAAGACATATTCCAAAGTTCACAACAATTCTGACCTTAATGGGAATGTCAGGGCATCAGTCCAGGCTTGCTGTGAAGGTGAAGATTATGACTGGATAGATTTTGTCCAACAGGCCAATTACAGAATTCAAGGCAATCAGTACTTAAGTTCCATCAGCATCATTCCCTGGGTTGTGCATAATGTTTGAGTCCCTAACAGGGTGCTCGTGGGCCCAAAGGTGTTAGCAGGTCTCTGCTGGAACCCACAAGCCTCCTAGCCTGAAGGCTTTAGAATTTCTAAAATGTGGATTTTTAAAATTAAAGCTATTTTGATTGGAAGATTTGCATGCTGCAATTGGAAGCACTGCTCTCTGGCAACCTCCTTCTTTCTGGGAATGTCTCCTGGCCCCTTACAAACATTACGGGAATTCTTGGGAAGTGAGATGGCAGGATGCCACAGCCAAATGATTTGCTTGAGGAGTACCCAGTCTACCAAAGAAGCAGGAAAGGTCAGCCGGGCTGGAGGCAGTGGGGAGCATCCATGGGTGCATGGGTAGGGCTAATGGGAAATGGGCCCAGAGTCTCCGGTTTCTCCGGGTGTGTTTTATCTGGCTCAGTTGAGGGCAAGTGTTAACGCTTTTCTGGGCATAATTGCTTTGTGTTATGTGAAATGAGTATTTTGTTGGGCTGTTTCCCTTTTCTCTGTGGGCAAAATGGTAAGCAAAGGTTTGCTTACATGCTGATTAAAATTGTATGCAATCATCGCAGGAGAGATGGAGTTGCTTTCTTGGGGGCTGAATTTGGCCCATGGGCTGCTGGCTGAGCAGTGTTACCTCCTCTCCTAACTCCTCAGTATGTACAGATTTTATTCTGTGCATCTGGGAAGAGGCGTCTCTGGTTTTTCCTTTAATGCATCTTTCTAACTCTCTCTAATCTACAGAAGTCATGAAAACATGGGGTAGGCAGGACGTTGGAAACCCCTCTAATAAGGAATCTTTGCTTATGTTCCTGGGATCAGAGCTCTTCCCCAAGCTGGGTCAGAACTTTTGGGTTTCCTAGCTCCTTTCCCCCAAAGGCTTTGGAATGCTTTACTGGACTTGCTCACTCATCTGTGTGAATACTTGTTGCCCACGACCTGGACAAAGAATATATTTAACTAACAAAGCAGTGTCTGCTCATGAGCATTCTGTGTTGGAGATGTTACCGGGACTGCAAGGTCTGAGACACTCACAATGAGCTAGTGAGATTTGTATTCCTGACAGAGGAAATACAAATCTCGGCCACATGCGACTCGCGAGTGCCAATATTTCACACACTGAGTGTTCCACCACACTCTACTCACAACCAGCACTAGCTTCTCTACGGCTGAAGGAATGTGCTCTGCCCAGCTCAACAGGCCCTTGCAGCCGTGCCACGCACGGGGAAAAGCCTGCTTGTCCCATGAGAGCGAAATCCAAGGCATTTTCCTGGCACTGGTCAGGTTTGCAAGAAGCAACGGCAGGAAAAAGCATTGTGTGCTGTTCACACTGGTGTTACTCAAGCACCAGCCTGTGAGTCCCTCGGGCTGACCGTGTCTTCGCCCCAGAGCACCCTTGGCTGTGTATGCTGCTTGCCACAGTCGCTCTTCGAAACGGCACACCTTCAGCGGACTGTAACCAAGTTAGTGCCACGGTTTGGTGCACTTCTATGTTGGCTGTGATCCAGGGGGCTATGGAGACTCCTGAAAGTGTGTGGTGGGCGTAGGTTGTTGGTGGCAGCATTGGCCTGTTGGCACAGCACGTTTCCCAAGTGCTTTATCTCAAAGAACATTGTTACAGCAACCCGTTAAGGTAGGCCAGGATAGTTATCCCCATGTCATGGATTGGAGTAAGAGGCTTTCAGATAGTGTGTTGTCTAATACATGCCCAGGGGATGAATGACTGAGGTTAGATGATCAAACCATTGGAAAGCACCCTTCTGGAGTACAGTGGCATGGTGAAGAAGTCTCACTGGGCCGAATCTCTGGCAGGCCACCTGCCCCATGACGCTCGGCAGCTGCTGAAATCAAGGTCCAGAGCCCCCAAAGACCTTCACTGCATCTGATCCCACTGGGTTTTTTTTGGGGAGGGGCTGGTTGCCTGCATGCATTTACCTCCTTGAATATTTCTCCACGGACTGAAACCAATGCCCTCTTCCCTAGGCATGCATCTCTCTCTGACAAACAGCAGTGTCCTTATGAGTCTCCTTTAAAGAAACACCCACACATGAGAATGAAAATCTTTGCTTTTTTTTTTTTTTTTTTGTCCTATGGTGTGCTGAGCTGCAAATCCTTTCAAACCCGGCACTGCTCTTGCATTAGAATGAAGGAGAAGGGAAAAAAGAATGGAGGATGAGGAAAGTGGGGATGGAGGTCCGAGCTTTGCATCCATTTTATCCAGTGCCTAAGTCTCGGCTGTACCTGTGGTTTTGGGAGGTCATTTCCCA